GATAGTGCTTTACAACTTGGATAAACCTTGAGCACATTGTGCCAAGTGAGAGAAGCTAGTCACAAAAGTCATATATTATATGATTGCTTTTATATAATATATGCAGAATAGGCATATCCAAAGCAACAATAAGCAGATTAGAGGTTACTAAGGGGCAGAGGATGGAGAATGGGGAGTGATTATGTATTTAATGAATACGGAGTAATTTTGGGGGGGTGGTAAAAGTTTTATTACTGGTGATAAAAAGCTTGACAATGCTGGTGGTTACACAACGTTATAAATATACTAAATACCACCAAATTGTACACTTAAAAATGATTAATTGTATATTAAGTGAATTTCACCTCATTTTTATTGATTGAGACACTCTGTCATCTAGGCCAGAGGGCAGTGGCATGATCATAACTCACTACAACCTTGAACTCTTGGGCTCAAGCAACCTCTTGCCCCAACCTTCTGAGGAGCTAGGATTAAGGCATGTGACACCACACCAGGCATATTAAAACTTTTTTTTGTAGAGATAGGGTCTTACTATCTTTCCCAGGCTGGTTTCAAAGCTCAACAGCCTCAAGTGATTCTCCTGCCTCAGCCTTACAAAGCACAAAATTACGAGTATGAGCCCCTGCGCCTGGCCTTACCTCAAGCTTTTAGTAAAAGGGATTCATGAGATTTATTTACTTTTTATGCTTCCCAGAGGCAAAAATTTTAAAGTGCAGGGAGTGATGATATCAGAAAAGGATGACCGTTTGTGATGTGGCAACTCCAGTATCTTGATATCTTTCCAGATTCATTTTCATTCATCTTTTTACTTAGAAGAATTTATTCTTTTTGTTTTTGAGTTGGAGTCTCACTCAGTCGCCCAGACTGGAGTGCAGTGCCTGCTCCCGGCCACTGCAGCCTCGACCTACTGGGCTCTGGCGATCCTTCCCCCTCAACCTTCCAAGTAGCTGGAACTACAGAAGTGTGCTGCCACGCCTGGCTAATTTTTTTGATTTTTATTGTAGAGATGAGGTCTCACCAAGTTGCCCAGGTGGATCTCGAACCCGCGGGCTCAGGCAATTCGCTCACCTTGGCCTCCCAAGGCGCGGGATTACAGGCTGAGCCACTGATCCCGGCCTAGAAGAATTTATTCTTTAGCTGGAAATACAGGCATGTGCTACCACACCCAGCTAATTTTTTGATTTATTGTAGAGATGAGGTCTCGCCAACTTACCTAGGTTGGTCTTAAACCCTTGGGCTCAAGCAGTCCTCTCACCTTGGCCTCCCAAAGTGTTGGGACTATAGACATGAGCCACAGGGTCTGGCCTAGAAGAATTTATTCTTTTTTTTTTTTTGAGTTGGAGTCTCACTCTGTCTCCCAGACTGGGGTCAGTGGCATGCTTCTGACCACCGTAGCCTCTACCTGCTGGGCTCTGGCGATCCTTCCGCCTCAGCCTTCCAAGTAGCCAGAACTACAGGCACGCGCTGCCACGCCCAGCTAATTTTTTTTTTTTTTTTGAGTTGGAGTCTTACCCTGTCACCCAGACTGGAGTGCCGTGGCCGCTTCCGGCCACCGCAGCCTCGACCTGCTGGGCTCCGGCGATCCTTCCTCCTCAGCCTTCCGAGTAGCCGGAATTACAGGCATGCGCTACCACACCTGGCTGATTTTTTGATTTATTGTAGAGATGAGGTCTCGCCTGCCCAGGTGGGTCTCGAACCTGTGGGCTCAGGCAATTCACTCACCTCAGCCTCCCAAAGGCGCGGGATTACAGGCTGAGCCACTGAGCCCGGCCTAATTTTTGATTTATTGTAGAGATGAGGTCTCACCAAGTTGCCCACGTGGGTCTGGAACCCACGGGCTCAGGTGATCCACTTGTCTCAGCCTCCCAAAGTGCTGGGATTACAGGCTGAGCCAACAAGCCCTGTGAAGAATTTATTCTTTTTTTTGAGTTGGAATCTCACTTTGTCACCCAGACTGGAGTGCAGTGGCTGCTCCTGGCCACCGCAGTCTCGACCTGCTGGGCTCCGGTGATCCTTCCGCCTCAGCCTTCCAAGTAGCTGGAACTACAGGCACACCCTACCACGCCCGGCTAATTTTTTATTTATTGTAGAGATGAGGTCTCGCCAAGTTGCCCAGGCGGGTCTCGAACCTGCGGGCTCAGGCATTCCCAAAGGCACGGGATTACAGGCTGAGCCACCGAGCCCAGCTAAGAATTTATTCTTAACACAAAGTATTTTATCTGAAAATACTGTCTGCTAAGGTAGAAACAGCCCTGTGTTTTGATAATGAGTATGTTATTCTTTGGGGACACCTATTAGGGGCCCAGTTGCTCTGGAACTAACAGAGCTAATGAGGAACAAAAGATATTCCTAGAACCTACATTTGGTTGACATTCTGTTTTTCCTGGTCCATGCCATTCTATCAGGCTACCCTTTACCCCACTCCTTTTTTTTAAGTCAGGACTCACTCTGTTGCCCAGGCTGGAGTGTGGTGATGCAGTCACTGCTCACTACAGCCTTGGCCTCCTGGGTTCAAGTGATCCTTCTGCCTTAGTCTCTCGAGTATCTAGGACTACAGGACTACAGCTGGGACTACAGACATGCGTCACCATGCCTGGCTTAATTTTATTTTTTTTGTTGCCTGGACTGGCCTTGAACTCCTGGGCTCAAGCAATCCTCCCACCCTGCTTTCAAAGTGCTGGGATTACAGGCATGAGCCACTGTGCCTAGCCCTTTCCTTTTTAAAAAAATTTTTTTATTAAGGTAAAATTCACATAGCAAAATCAACCATTTTAAAGCAAACAATTCAGTGGCATTTAGAACACTTCCAGCTTCCAGCTCTATACATTGTTCCATAGCATCTTCATCATCCCCAAAGGGAAATCCCATACTCATTAAGCAGTTATTCCTCTCTCTTCCCCTAGCTCCTGATAACCTTACTGGTTTGTGTTCTGTCTGTGGATGATCTATTTTAGGTAGTTCATGTAAACGGAGTTGCCTTACTCCATGTAGTGTTGCTGTAAAAGAATACCTGGGGCTGGGTGCTTTATTTACTTTACTTATAAGAGGTTTACTGGCTCTTGGTTTTCCATGCTATACAAGAAACATAGTGCCAGAATCTGCTTATGATAAGGGCTTCAGGCTGCTTCTACTCATGGCAGAAGGTGAAGGGGGGCTGGTGTTGTGGAGAGCACACGGCGAGAGAGTAGGCAACAGAACAAAGGGAGGTGCCAGGCTCTCTTTTTAACAGTCAGCTCTCATAGGAACTAAGAGTGAGAACTCACTCATTACTGCAAGGATGGTACCAAGCTGTTCATGAAGGATCTGTCCCATGACCCAGATACCTCTCAGTAGGTCCCACCTCCAACACTGGGGTTTACACTTGAGGTTTGGAGGGTCAAATATCTGAACTATAGCAGGAGTCATATAACGTGACCTTTTGTGTCTGGCTTCTTTCACTATGCATAATGTTTTTAAGGTTCATCTATGTTGTAGCCTGTGTCAGAATTTCATTCCTTTTTATGGCTGAATAATGTTCCACTGTGTATATATACCACAATTTGTCCATTCATCTGTTAATGGACATGTGGACTATTTGACTATTGTGAATAGTGCTTCTGAAATAATACATACATGTATTTGTTTGAGTCCCTTTTAAGTTTCTTTGGGCATATACCTACAAGTAGAGTTGCTGGATCTTGTGATAATTCTATGTTTAAATTTTTGAGGAACTGCCAAACTGTTTTTCACAGTGACTGAGTCATTTTACCTTCCTAGCAACAATGTACAAGGGTTCCAATTTCTGCACATCCTCGCCAGCACTTGTCATTTTCCTTTATTTTGATTATAGTCAGTCTAGTGGGTGTGAAATGGTACCTCTTTGTGGTTTTGATTTGCATTTCCCTAAATGACTAATGATGTGAGCATCTTCATGTGTTTATTGGCCATTTGTATTTCTTCTTTGGAGAAATGTCTATTTAAATCCTTTTCCCATTTTAAAATTAGGTTCAGCCAGGCACTGTGGCTCACACATTGTGTAATCCCAGCTACTTGGGAGGCTGAGGTGGGAGGATCACTTGAGTCTAGGAAGTTGAGGCTGCAGTGAGCTATGGTCATGCCATTGCACTCCAGCCTGGGTGACAGAGCAAGACCTTGTCTCTAAAAAAATTAGATTGTCTTTTTGTTGTTGAATTGTAAGAATTCTTTATATATTCTAGATACAAGATTCTTATTGGATAAATTATTGCAAATATTTCTGCCATTCTGTAGGTTTCCTCCCTCCCTCCTTCCCTCCCTTCCTTCTTTCCTTTGTTTTTTGTCAGAGTCTCATTCTGTTGCCCCACACTGGAGCTGGAGTGTAGTGGCAGGCTCACGGCCACTGCAGCTTTGACCTGCTGGGCTAGTTGGTCCTTCTGCCTCAGCCTTCCAAGTAGCTGGAACCACAGACATACACCACCACGCCCAGCTAATTTTTTGATTTCTTGTAGATATGAGGTCTCACCAAGTTGCCCAGGCTGGTCTTGAACTCAGGCAGTCCTCTCACCTTGGCCTTCCAAAGTGCTCAGATTACAAGCATGAGCCACTGCACCCAGCCTCTGTAGGTGTCTTTTGGTGCACACAAATTTTTAATTTTGATGAAGTCCAATTTATCTATTTTTGTTGTTGTTGTCCATCTTTAGTGTCATATTTGAGAATACACTGCCAAATTCAAGATCATGAAAAAAATTTTTTTCTAAGAGTTTTATAGTTTTAGCTTTTGTATTTAGGTCACTGGTCCTTTTTGAGTTAATTGTTGAATATTGTAGCAGGTAGTGGTCTGTCTTCATTCTTTTGCATGTGGATATTCAATGGTTCCAGCATCATCTGTTGAAGAGACTATTCTTTCCCCATTGAATGGCCTTGACAACTTTTTAACCATCAGTTGGCTATAGACATGTGGATGTACTTCTGGAGACTCAGTTTTGTGCTTTCTACTTATTTTTATATGGATTGAGCTTCTTGTTTTTCTCCCTTTGATACAGGATCATGGGGTTGATAGTAGCATTTTCCAGAATCCCAAAAAGCTTCATCTCACTATTGGAATGTTGGTGCTTTTGAGTGAAGAAGAGATCCAGCAGACATGTGAGATGCTACAGCAGTGTAAAGAGGAATTTATTAAGTGAGTAACCCTCAGGGATGGGAAAGGGTGGTCCATCCAGGCTGGCTTCTTTTGGTATTACAGACTTGTTTTTGAACTCGGAACTGTATGACATGGAAACGAGATTTGTTGACTCACCTATTTATTACACTTAACAGGAGACCATTGTCTGAGATGTTTAAAATGAACTTAAAGCATATATTTACACATTTTTTTATGAAAAAAAAACCTCTATCTTAAAATGTATTGGTTCAGTGGCCCTTTTTTTATTAAATGGGATGTCCCGTTATTTTCTTCAATAGGAAATTCTCCTTATGTATCAAAGAGCATAGGCTATTGCATTGGTTTTCTGTGCTGCTATAACACATTATTATAAGTGTGGTGGCTTAAAATAACACAAATTTATTGTCTTATAGTTCTCAGGGCCAGAAAACTGATACAGATTTCACTGGGCTGAAATTAAGGTGTTGGCAGGATTATGATCTTTTCTTTTCTGGAGGTTCTAGGGGAGGATCCATTTCCTTGCTTTCAAAGCCCCTACTCCTTGGCTAGTGGCCCCTTTCCTCCACCTTCAACTTCAGCAGCACTGCATCTCTCTGATTCTTCTATTGTCAGATCTGTCTCTTTGTGTAGGCTTGTCTGCTTTCAAGAACTTGTGTAATTTGATTGAGTCCACTCAGGTAATCCAGACAAATCTCTTATATCAAGTTCCTTAACCATAATCACTTCTGCAGAAGTCTCTTTACAATATATGACAGCATATTTAGGCTGGGTGTGGTGGCTCACACCTGTAATCCCAGAACTTTGGGAGGCCGAGGTGGGAGGATTGCTTGAGTCCAGGAGTTTGAGATGAGCCTATACAACATAGTGAGATCTCATCTCTACAAAAAAAATTTAAAAATTTAGCTAGGTGTGGTGGCGCATGCCTACAGTCTCAGCTGCTTGGGAGGCTGAGGCAGGAGGATCACTTGAGCTCAGGAGGTCGAGGCTGTGGTGAGCTATGATCGTGCCACTGCACTCCAGCCTGGGCGACAGAGTGAGACCCCAAATTTTAAAAGAAAGATAGTATATGTACAAATTCCAGAGAGTAGGACATGAGCATCTTTAGGGACCATTATTTGGCTCATCACAGCAACACAGACATTTATAACATGATTCCCTAGGAAAGTCTTCATTGTATTTCAGAAACACTGACTTTCTTTTCTTTTTTTTTTTTTTTTGAGTTGGAGTCTCACTCTGTCACCCAGACTGGAGTGCAGTGGCCGCTCCCGGCCACCGCAGCCTCGCCTGCTGGGCTCCAGTGATCCTTCCGCCTCAGCCTTCCGAGTAGCTGGAATTACAGGCGCGCGCTACCAGGACTGGTTAATTTTTTGATTTATTGTAGAGATGAGGTCTCGCCAAGTTGCCCAGGCGGGTCTCGAACCCGCGGGCTCAGGCAATCCACTCACCTCAGCCTCCCAAAGGCATGGGATTACAGGCTGAGCCACCGAGCCCGGCTTCTTTTTTTTTAAACATAAATAATTTTGAATATTTGTGTTTAAAAGTAAGAATATCGGAAACTGTTTAAGCAATCTGTTTTGACTCAGGAAAACATTGCTGTTCTAGGGGCAAAGTTGGTGTTTATTTATTTTTTTACTGTTAAGTATTAATTTATGCCATACATATGACATAACAACTTTATTTCAAAGAACCATCTTTTCCCCTCTCTCCCTTTACTTTTTTTATTAAGATTTGTGAAGAACAGAAATTTGGAAGCTGACTCATTCACATAGTTTTTTAATTCTCTTATTGTATGCAAGCCCCATACTATTCTAACATGGTTTTGTAGAAATGGTTTACTTGGTTCACTGGGCAGAACAAGGTAAATGATCTAAACTTGTCCTCTACTTATGTTATATATGAAACTTGTAATACTGTGACTTTGTGTTCCAATTATCCTTTCCATTAATTGTTTCAAAGCCAGGATGTTTATCTTGAGCAAGGTCATAAGCTGATCAGGTTTACAGTCTGCTTTTATGAATCTCAGGCAGCAAAGAATACTTCTTGTCTTGTTCTTTGCTCTGTGTTGGACAAATCTATTGTCTCTAGATCTTTCCTAAAATTCAAAATAATTTGGTGTTTGTCATCAAGTAGTTGTAATTGTCCTTGTATAAAACAAAACTTTATGCTTTATGTTACAAAGCAGGGCAGTTTTACCTGATTTAAAGGATCAGTTCTGATACTTAAACTAATTCCTGGTTTACTTTTTGCTAAACTAAACTGAAAGCTGCTACATTTTCTTGGCTGCCATAGGGAATAATCCTGCTAAGAAAAAATTTAAAGGTAGATAAAGTATTTGTTTAGAGAATATTCTTTTTACCTTATGAAAATTAGGTCACAGGTTTTTTTTTTAATCACTGAGGCTTTATCCTAAGCTATGTAAAGATTTAGCTGAGTTCCTCCCTTTTATGTCTCTGGGTGCCTTTTGTGACTAAATGCCAAATCTGAGTCCTTTAAGCATGTCAGAGTTGGTGTGCATAGGGAATAAAGAGCAGGCTTAATAGTCCTCAGAATTTTTGACATGACAGTATGAAAACAGTAATTGTAGTTTTTCAAATTCAGCAAAGCTTTTGAAATAGGAAAAAGTTACCCTGCCAAAAATCTGCAGTGCATGCAAAAATTTGTTTGAAGATGCTCTTTTTAAAAAGCTGGAAAGATTTGAAACCAGCAAGTAAAATAAAGCAAGCCTCTCCAACTCTCTTCTTCAACCTTCCTCCTGCCACATACATTTATTTAAAAAGTAAAAAATTAAAAGTTAACAAGTCAAAATTAATTTACTTCTGAGAAGGAGAATATGAAACAGAATTTGGTTGGTTGGATTGGTTAGAGGTACCTTGTTTCCATAAAGGGAAGAGATGGTGCCTTTAAAAAAATAAAATAAAAGAGGTACTTCTATTAAAGTCCTGGTGAGTAAATTGGTAAATTGTATCATCTAACTTTTTTTTTCTTTGATCCTTATTCTTGCTCTTTGATCGTAGCCTTTGTGCTTGGTATATTTAGAAAGAAGTCAATAAATAGTAATGGCATTTCTTTCTTTCTTTCTCTTTCTTTTTTGAGAGATGAGATCTAGCCACATTGCCCAGGCTGGTCTTGAACCTGTGGACTCAGGCAGTCCTCTCACCTCGGCCTCCCAAAGTGCTGGGATTATAGGTGTGAGCCACTGGCTAGTCCTCTTTTTTTTTTTTTTTCTCGAGTCAGAGTCTCATTCTGTCATCCAGGCTGGAGTGCTGTGGCACGCTTGTGGCCACTGCAGCCTTGACCTGCTGGACTCAGATGATCCTTCTGCATCAGCCTTCCAAGTAGCTAGAACTACAGGTGCATGCCACCACACCCAGCTAATTTTTGGATTTATTGTGGTTGCCCAGGCTGGTCTCAAACCCGAGTTCAGGAATTTCTCTCGCCTCCGCCTCCTAAAATGCTGGGGTTATAGGCACGAGCCACTGCACCCGGCCGATGGCAATGGCATTTCTAACCTGAGATGCTTTATGGTATAAAGACCTCAAATTAAAATATGAAAAAGAAAACATTGAAAAATGAATAGACCAGTATATGGTATGCTATAGTTAATTTTATGGCTTTTAAAATTGGAGTACTGAATAAAAGTGGCCATATTGGAATTTGATTAAAACTGTGGTGTTATATAGCTCTTTTAGATAAATGAGTAGCTGAATATTTGTTTTAAATTTGAAGGTAGTTTTTTAATTTAAAGGATGCCATCAGACCAGAAGCAGGATTTATATTTCAGTTTTTCAGCTAAAGGCTCATGTAGTGCTATGGATTTTGAATGAATTATTCAGTGTTTAGTAAATCCTGAAACTGACTGTGTCCTTGTGACTGTTCTCTGTGAGATATAGGCCACAAACCATGCGCTGGCTCTGAGCAGAGTCTGACAAATGTGCAGTGTGTTTTTAGCTTCTATGCCACCCTCCTGGGCCTAACAGTGCCCGTAGGCCTGAGGTCAGACCAAACAAGAAGTTTAAAGGTACAAAAAAAAGAGGAGAGAAGAAGGGGAGAGAAAATACTCATGAACAAATATTAATACTTCATTGTTGCCTCGGTTGTCATCAGTTGGAAAGCAGTGTGCTCTCTGGTGTCCCAGGTGGAATAATTTGGCCACCAAACCAAGGAGCATTTATCAGGAAACCATCGAATTTCTATCCTGCCCTTTAACTTGCTCAATAAATCTTAGGGGTAGGTTGAAAGAGTTTCTGTTTCTACTCATACAGCAGGCTTTGACTCCTGTTTCATCCTTTTGCTTATTTTTTGTTTTTGCTTCTCCATTTAATTTCAAGGATTTGAGGCAGTGTAGAGGGAGGATGTATACAAAAGAAATGCCAGCCAGGTGCGGTGGCTTAAGTTTGTAATCCCAGCATTTTTGGAGGCTGCGGCAAGAGGATTGCATGAGCCCACGGGTTTGAGACCAGCCAGGGCAACATGGTGAGACCTCATCTCTACAATTAAAAAAAAAAAAAATTAGCTGGATGTGGTAGTGCGCACCTATAGTTCTGGCTACTTGGAAGGCTGAGGCAGAGAGATTGCTAGAGCTCAGCTCACTCCAGCCTGGGCGACAAAATGAGACTCCAACTCAAAAAAAAAAAAAAAAGCCAAAGTCAGAGACATCAGAATCCAAAAGGATGGAAAAGGGAGAAAATTCTGCCTGAAAATTAAAGTAAGATAATAATTGTACTTGAGCATTGCAATTTGGTAGTTTTATGTACTTAAACTAAACTAAATGTACTTAAACTAAATTCCAAAAAGAAACGCATTGCTTTATTATAGTTCTTATCTGATAAAAAGAAATATAATAGTTTTTTAGAAGAGAAACATTTTCTGGTTCTCAATCTATGAAAAATTTGTCATGTAAATCTTAACATGAAGAACCCAGGATGGGCCAGGCACGGTGGCTCATGCCCACAATCCCAGCACTTTGGGAGGCCAAGGCGAGAGGATTGCCTGAACCCAGGGGTTCGAGACCAGCCTGG